ATTTCAATGTAAGACCTAGTGTATTTAGTTCGATTAAACCTAGATTTCTATGTGAGACCTAGTGTATTTAGTTCGATTAAACTTAGATTTCTATGTAAGACCTGGTGTATTTAGTTCGATTAAACCTAGATTTCTATGTAAGACCTAGTGTATTTAGTTCGATTAAACCTAGATTTCTATGTAAGACCTGGTGTATTTAGTTCGATTAAACCTAGATTTCTATGTAAGACCTAGTGTATTTAGTTCGATTAAACCTAGATTTCTATGTAAGACCTAGTGTATTTAGTTCGATTAAACCTAGATTTCTATGTAAGACCTAGTGTATTTAGTTCGATTAAATCTAGATTTCTATGTAAGACCTAGTGTATTTAGTAGAATTAAGACTAAATTTTTAAGTGACATCTGGTGTACTTAATAATATTATACCTAGATATTTAAGCAATACCTGGTGTATTTAATATGATTACAGGGAATAAAACATTTTTGGAAAATTTAAGTATGTTGTAGGGATGGCAATGCCAGAAAGTACAGAAACAAAGTAGGGATGAATACGCAAAACCATATAAAAATCCTTACATAAGTAGCCAGTAAGTACTGAGTCAATCTTACAAACTTATTAGCCACTGTAAGACTGTATAGCACTATTCAGTCTAAATACTTTTATTCAAACCTGAATTCATACAAATGACAAGGAACCAACATTTAGTTGTAGATAAAAGTTATTCTTGGCAAGATTTGGCTACTTTATAGTGATTTTTGTAACGACTTTTGTGTATTCATCCCTCCCTCGTTTCTGTACTTTTTTGGCAGTGCCATCTATACGTCATACATAATTTTTGCAATTTTTTATTACTTGTTCCTCTCTTTTTTAAACAATTTCGTTGAAGTAAGTTGTTAAGTGAAAATTTGTTTTATTTTTTTTATAATTTAATGGTAATATCTATTATTGATATCATATACTGTTAATATCATATCAGTTTTGTTAGTTTATAATTTCACTTGTTGAATGACCTCAGATATTGCTATTATACCATACAATTGGCTACAATAGATTATTAATCATCACTGGTCATAATCTTGACTTCTTGGGACTTAATGTTGAGGAACCTGCAGTAAGAAAAGAACATATGAAAAATGTATGCCTGTTATCATTCCTATATTCATGTTTGCATTCTTTTTAGCACTGCCATCCCTACATCATTTTACATTTACAAAATGTTTTTATTACTCGTTTTGTAACTTTTTTTTCCCTGACTAAAATCTAGTGTGTTCTATGAATGTGTGTAATAGAATTTAATATTATGTGTATTGATTTTTTTTTTACTCCTTCACTTCACACATAATATAAGTGTTGGCTCCCTAATAACACCGATTGTATAGTGTACAAAGCACTGACTATTCTACACGTTATAGTAATCTAATGTTCATATATTATTGGCTGGTAGATCCTGTTTCCTCCTGTACTTATGCTTTTTAAAGGAACACAAAATATTTGTAAGAAAGATAACTTCAAGGGATAATGATAACGTCGTTTACACTAGAATTATGATTTTATTTTAGCTTATACTAAGAGCACTGCCTTGTTTTTTGATAGCCTATTCTCAAGTGCTCTTAAAATGATTTTCCGTCGTGCTAAAGCCTTTGCGAAAACTTCACAAATTTTTTGGCAAGCGTGAGAAAAGAAAAATAAAGATGAACACTTTGGCTCTTTAGCTAGTTCCCAGTTCTCCACTTTAGCAACACTTTTCAATGATATTGAAGTCTCACAAGCTGTAAAACACTCGATAATGGCAATTAGATGCTCAAACAAGGTTATAAGTCAACTTTAACAGTTATTTGTAAGCATCATTAAGTAATAGATTGAATGCGGCAGCCATTTTTTCTAGGCCTATCCTACGTACTAAGCACTACCGTGTTTAATGATTTTTAAGTGAGACTTGGTAAATTAGTTCGATTATAATTCCCACAGCCCTGTATTGGAATAAGCACAGTTTCTGTTAAAAGCGATATGAATATTAAAAATCACAATGAATGCAAACAGTACTTAAAATACCTATTAAGTAGATTGTTGTTATCAAAAATACAACTTAGTAACAAGTAAAGTTATCAGAATATTTCAACTTCATGTTTTTTACTATCTAAGCTTAAAACATGAAATAGGCGATTCATATACCAATTCACAGCCAAAGAACATGTTTTTATTATTTCCTGTTTAGCTACATATAATACCTTCTTAACCAAAAACTACAGACATTCAACCTTTTCCGATATAATACGATTGATGGCCCAGGCTCTTATGACATAATGTGGTAACTCTATTCAATCAACTTAATTATCACAAAAATCGTGAAATGAATTAACGTTTGATTACAATCTATTTTCTAATGACTCTCGTTATAACAATACCCTGCTGGTTGTAGAGGCAGGTACATCTAAAAAAGTGACGTTACAGCAAACACCAGAGAATGTTCTGGTAAACGTTACTGATTTCATAGACGTACAGTCAACATAACTAACGTGACAACAAGACTAGAGGAAGTGCTGAGAAACACTGTTGGATGTATAGACAGGTACAACCAAATAATACACTGCTTATTGTATACACAATTACAGTCAACATAACTAACGTAACGTACGACCAAGTAATACACTGCTTGTTGTATACACAATACAGCAACAACGTAATGTTACAACAAAGACCAGATTATATGCTGGTAAACTTTCCTGGTTGTATAGATGTGTACAGCTAAATAATACACTACCGATTGTATACACAAGTACAGTCAACAAAGTAACGTGACAACAAAGGCCAAAAGGATGTGCGAGTGAACGTCTCTGGTTGTGTAGGAAACCTAAATAATATGATGCTGCCTATATTGACAGATACAAACAACAAAAGCCCAAAATGATGTGCTGGGAAACATCAATGGAGCACGCACCATGTGATGTCCACGAACGTTGTTGTACACGGACAGAACAGTTATATATAATTACAATATTTACATTCAAGCACTCTTCGAGAATTCTTCTCATTTAGTTTTATTTTGACTTTAAATGTATTTTGTCAAACAACCTTATGAGCCCAGGTTCCTTTTCAGTACAAAATTACCTGTCCTCATAGCCAATAAATTGGATTTAAAAAGAGAGGGAGAGGCATTACGAAATCACATAGATCTCCAGATTTAATGTTCAATAAGCTTTTAAAACGTAATTATATGCAGCTTATAGGCCTCGTGCGTGACAAAAACAGATGGTCTTTTGCAAATGAGCCCCATTTTATTCACAAAAGACAAATGTTTATTGTCATTACACATAAATCTTCACTGTCTTCACCGTTACAAGACATAAAAAAGTTTGAAAATCTAAAAATTAGAGAACCCATCTTAAAAAAAACACTTGCATCCTACTATTAGGTTCACTCTATGAATGATAAAGTAGTAAGCAACCATTTGCATCCTACTATTAGGTTCACTCTATGAATGATAAAGTAGTAAGCAACCATTTGCATCCTACTATTAGGTTTACTCTATGAATGATAAAGTAGTAAGCAATCATTTGCATCCTACTACTAGGTTTACTCTATGAATGATAAAGTAGTAAGCATTTAGTTACAAACTTTTAATTTCGCACAGTATTTCAATTGATTCAGTAATCTAAAGAGCGCCATCTAAAAACCTAAATCATTTACTGGAACGTAGTGCTCAGTCAAATTAATCACATATTTCATTCTATAAAAATGTTAAAGACTTCAAACGATAAAGCCTTGTCTATTATTTCAAAGTATTTACGCCAAAGTATTTAAGTGAGACATATTCAAGATGAAACAAGAGAGACAAAGTTGGGCTTAAAATGAGTACCTTCCTTAAGGATTAGTACAAATATCCAAGGTTTTTACGAGACCTCATTCACATCTTATAGATCTCGTTGTTACAGACATCATTGGTGGCAAGAAGCTTCTTCACTGGCTTTTTTCATCTATTGGATTACGTGCTTGAATTCCAAAGGGGAAGACTTGGAGGATGACATAACATGAGTAACCACTGATATTAGGAAATAATTAAAAATATCTTATGTTTGAATATCATAACATTAAACATTATAATGTCTGCCGTGTGGTGAGCCCCTTTTGGTTGAACTGAAAAAGAATCTACATTCCGATAGAATGTAATAGCGTTAGAACGAAAGCGTTTTATCAGAAAATCTCTGACGGACAAGATGTATCATAAAAACCTCCGGTCTTTTGTTAATTTTATGAAGAAAGTTATCACTAACATCAAGGTTTTATAACACTGTTTTGTTATTTACTCTTCGCATCCACTAATCTTACTTTCGTACAGATCTCTCTCTCTTCGGAAGCACATTTATTACGCGTGTTTGTTGTTCACAAAGAAGCCAAACTGTCACGATCACTTTCTGTCTGAGTTTTTGAGGGTGTGGTTTGGACTGTCAGTTTCACTTGCTCTGCTGAACTGCCTAAACGCAAAAAAAATACAAAAAAATAAACAAGACTTTCAAAATCAAATACCTTTTTTTCTTCGAAAAATGAAGAAAGACAAAAGATGAACAGATTCTTTATTTGTTCTTAAAGCAACAGACTAGTAAAACATCAACGTTGTCAATTAATGATCATCAAACTATTGTTTTGGTGAAATTTATAAATTTAATGGATTTTATTACAATGGGTTTAATAAACTACCAGTCCAGTGAACATTAACCCATATATTATGTATTGTAAAGATAAAACCAGTTCATCAAAAGGTAGGTAGGTATTGCTATAATAGTTGCTATTGTTGGCCTCGTTATTTTAGATTATTTGGTAAACAGAATAATGGAAAGTCCAGCCCACGTAGCATAATGGAAAGTTCAGCCCATGTAGCATAATGGAAAGTCCAGCCATTTTGCATAATGGAAAGTCCAGTTTATGTAGCATAATGGAAATTCCAGCCAATGTAGCATAATGGAAAGTCCAGCCCATGTAGCATAATGGAAAGTCCAGTCCATGTAGCATAATGGAAAGTCCAGTCCATGTAGCATAATGGAAAGTCCAGCCCATGTAGCAATAGCAATACTATTTTATATCTTCAATTTCTACTTTCATAATTCACCGATAGGTCTTTAACTTCGTCAGTAAACTACGTCTAACAAAAATTACATTTAATTGCTAATTTCGTATCTCTATCTTTCTGCCGACACACAAATTTAATATTCAAAGCACTAAACAAATTAGCTGGTTGACTAACTAAACCATCAACTGACTCACTAATCCAATCTAGACTAACTCGCTTTTACGTATGGTTCAAAATGTTTTCTAACCTTTCAAGAAGGTTCTAGTTCATTAAGAGACGACCATTATGTTACGTTAACTTTCCTTCGGGCTAAACAACAATACAAATTGCTAGAAACGTTTAAGTTAAAAACATGACCTACAACAGTTTACATAAATATTGAAATCTGAAAACAAACAGTAGTAACATGTATACATAATTACTGTATATGTATATGTACATACACACACACACACACACACACATATATATATATAAATATTTATAGAAAATTAATCGTTAAACAGTCAAGCAAAATAAAATCAAAGAAAAACTGCGTTAAAAACAGCAAATCCAAACCTGTGCTAAATTACTTTGAGATGAACAAAACATTTGGGC